TTTTATTAAAATGATGTAAAGTTAAACTTTAAACCAGAGGAGCCCAAAGTGGGGCCCGCGGGCCAAATTTGGCCCGCCAAGCCATTTGATTCGGCCTACCAACAGTTGCCAAAGTTAAAAGTTTGTAACCTGTTATTCTATGTAGAAACACAGTGTTTCCATTGGTCAAATGACTAAATAAAAGGGCTGTAGTGAAGGTAGTTTTCATTCATGCTGTTGACTTTAGTTTTGATTTGTTAGGATTAAACATGAAACATGAAATGACAACAATAAATATTTAGATCAGATTTAACCCCACGTGTAGATTTGCACACTTTATAAGGCCACAAAAACTCATATTTTATCAATTTATGATATGTCCCATGAGCCTTTGCTATGGCAGACTTAATCCAAGCACACAGACTTAAACAAAAGAGGGCCATTGCATTGCATAATCGCTAAAAATAAAGGACTTTACTTAAAAAGTATTCGTATTTCATGTATTATATTACTRCATTTGGCCCGCAGCCATGGATAGATTTTCATTTTGGCCCTCTCAGGGAAWATGTTTGGGCACCCCTGCTTTAAACTTAGTCACTAAATTGGACAATTTGATTAACAAAACCAACAGAAGTCCTTGGATTTGTGTCTTAAACATCTATATTTATGTATTTAGATGATAAATAATTGCAGTAAATGTTCTGTTGAGGCTGTGTCAGTCTTACCTTAAAACTTTTGCTTTGCAGATCTGATGACCTTCAGTTGTTGTCTTGCAGAAGTGAGGCCCAATATCAGCATTTTACAAGTACTCATATGAAATGACCCAATACCCATATACCAATATAAATATTTATATCAGTATTTTTATTGGTATCAGCACTCCAACGAATGTGTTAGTTTACATGTCAAGTGATAAGTTTATCAGTTCCATGTTTAAGGAATTTACACAAGTTGATAGAAAATCTTRTTTTTATTTATTGTAAAATGTTGCAGCAGTATATATCATGCTGTGTATTTGATTTGATCCAGTCTGAGAAGCTGTAGGCCAATAAGGACGGAGATATCTCTTCTAAATAAAAGAAATGTGTTTCAAAATTTGTAATGTTTAGGTTTTAACTCAGGCAGTACTCTGTATCAGTGAGTACTCGAACTGAAGTACTCATACATGGTTTGAGGAATCCTTGTACCAGAACATTACCCCAAATGTACTGCAGCTCATTCTTTGCCTCTGGAGTCCTTCAAAGTTGTACCAAAATGAAGATTTGACACAATGATGATTATTTTAACTTGGTATTTTATAATGTACTGAATATGATAGTATTTTTGTTTCATTCGGATAGAATAGCCTGCAAGTTGATTTGATTTTGAACTAATTTAGAACTTATTTTCTGTACAGTTCCCCAGGATGACTTTTTTTTGTGTGAATTGGTGCAACGTATTAAACTGAATCAAGCTGAATAAATACATTGCTCACAAAAAGTGAGGGATATTTGTCGAAGTTAATCACTTGTTAGACGTCGTCTCTTATGATGTGAAAATGTGAAGCGCATGATGACAACTGTAAAAACAATTTCTAATAGAACCAGGAAATGTATTTGTCGATTCATGAATCGAACTGATGAGTTTTGTTGTTAAGCTCTGTTAGAGAACAGCAAGTTGTGCAGGARATACTGAAATGAACAKTTGGACATGTGCATTTAGAGATTTAGAGAAAGTCACCTGTAAAGGTTTTACTACATTTTAGCTTCACACTGCAATTTCACACAAAAAGCCAAATATACCAAACTTTTCAAAGGAAACATGTCAAATACATGTTTGTTTTTTTTTTGTAATACATATTTGGTGCAACTAATGTTGCTGTTCCGGTTCCAGGTCCGGTGCCCCGGCACAAACAGAGCAATGTTGTATATGCTGTTAAGTGCCAGGAGGACTGCGACCAGTTATAC